GGTTTAGGCTTTAGGGTTTAGGATTCCTTTCAGGATCTATAAGGGGCAGTTAGGGTCTACGGGTTTCGGGTTTGGAGTTGCGGGTTTCGGGTTTAGGGGTTTTCGAGTTTGGAGTTGCGGGTCTCGGGTTTGGGGTTTAGCGTTTTATACGGGGTTCTAGGTTGAGGGTCTCGAAGTTTCGGTTTAGGGGCGTAGGGTTTAGGGTTTTCGGGTTTCGGTTCGGGGTTTAGGCTTCGATGCATTGAATATTGGATTATACCTGGGGTCATCGTAAGGATCCTTGTGCAATTTCAGGACTACTCCTTAATCCCCTCAATGACAGGTTTTGAAGTCTCTGGGTAGGTATACCCGAAGTCACTGAAACTCAAGGGTGTAGCCTGATTCAGTTGCGACTCGAGCCCTTGGTCTGGACAAAGGCGGGTTTTGGGGTGAAATATGGCAGACGTCGAATTATTAAAAGGCGACGAGACCTTATTCTAGTTATAGTATAATGGACCCCAAAACCCTATTCTAATTGTAAAGGCCCCTAGACTAGAAGTTTCGTACCAAGTATTCGGGCCTTTAGGGTTTAGGGTTTAGGGTCTAGTACACCCTAAACCCTAAACCCTAAACCCTAATCCCCTAAACCCCTAAACCCCTAAACCCTAAACCCTAAACCCTAACCCCAAACCTTAAACCCCTTGTAGAGGCAGGAAAGTTGGAGCAACCACTTTCGGCTCCAGGCCTCGAAGCATTGCAGCCCGGAGCAGAGGGAACGCACATTCCGCTCAGCCGTGTTAGGGTTTAGGGTTTAGGGTTTTGGTTTTAGGGTCTAGGGTTTAGGGTTTAGGGTTTAGGGTTTAGGGGTTTAGGGTTTAGGGTTTTAGGGTAATTGCCATTCCTTCTTTAGCCGTAGCGATGTGGGTAGTTCTCTAAATTAGAGTCCCTTTTGGGGGTCCTTGTATGAGGGTGCCGTACTATATATGGGATCTAAAAAGGGACCCTACTTTAGAGAACTACCCATGTACTATAGAAGCCTAAAGAATTACCTGTATTGTTTTGGGCGTTCCTTATTATAATTCTGTCGCATTTTGAGGGTTTAGGGTTTAAGGCTTAGGGTTCAGGGTTTAGGGTTTAGGGTTTAGTTGGTTCACTGTCACATTGCTCGTCAGCAAGGTTTTAATGGAGCACCTGAGCGAGGTGGCAGAGACAGTTATCTGCAATCCAGAGCGCTGTGCTCGCCAGGATGGAAGTACATCGGCAGAGCCGAGTGTCGCTGTGGCTCTAGGGCATCTACAAGATCTTGGTGGACGTTCATCTTTCAAGGTCCAAGACATCCGATTGTGCAGGCCGTATGCTGAAGCTTTTTCGGGCCGAAGCTGCTCTTGCGCTTGGCGCTCATCGCAGAGTTCAGTGCCACAGCCTCTGCCTATGCTTACAAGTTCGATGGCCGCGGGTCGCTCGCGCAGACCGCCTTCCATCTCACATGCTTGAAGCACGCCTCCAGAGGTTGTTCCACTTCAGGGGGGGAGCAAGGACAATTGCAACGTGCCCTAGTACTGGACCCGGCCTACTCGGCCGGCAGTATAACATACCCCAAAACCCTATTCTGATTATTAAGGCCCCTACATTATTCAACTCTGAGCCCAAACCCACAAACCTAAAGGCTAAGCTCTGAGCCCTAAACCCGAAACCCCAAGTCCCAAAACTACAACCCCCCCAAAACCCTCCTGAAGGGGTATCCCTGAAACAAGCCCTTAAGTTTAAGGTACCCTTTCCAGGGAGATTTAGTATAGAACCCCTATAGCTCCCCTTAAAGGAGCCCTTAGAGATTTGGGAAGGTGACGACCTGTTGCCAGCCTCTGTGCTCTGTGGCCCTGACGCAGCGTCATCTCTGGAGGCTTCAGACGTGGCTGGGGTTTAGGGTTTAGGGTTTAGAGAAGTGGCGTTGTAGAGGCGTTTCTTTCTATCGGGACTTGAACGGGCTTAAAGGAGTTAGAAAGTTTTTTGTGTGGGTAGCAGGGCGGCAGGCTGCGGAACCTATGCATCTACGTGTATTTGCATCTATGTATCCATGTGTTTTGCATGTGCACATGCAGGTGTGTGCACTTAAAGGTGTATCGATGCATCCTTGCACGCTATATACACAACATGAGGGTAGACCATGGTTGAGGCTGGTCGAGGTTACCGACGGAAAAACAGTTAAGGAAGGAACAACAAAACTAATAAGATCAAGCTTCAGGACATACACCATCACGCGTACCATCGCGACGCGTTTAGCAAGCATGCTGAACACATGTTGTCAATACGCTTCAAGGTTCAGGGTTTATTTTTTTTTATGGTGTAGGCGTCTCACGGGAAGAAACCGGAGTGCAGCTGTACGAAGCCTTAAGCCCTAATTACTGTCAACCCTGATGGACCCAAAACCTGGACACGAGACCCAAAACCCTAAACCTGTTGAGGAACTTCGCCCGAAAGCCTAAAACCTCCCTAAACCAACCTAACCCCTAAACTGAACCCCTAAACCCTAAGGCCCTAAAGCCCTAAATCCTAAACCCCTAAACCCTAAACCCCTAAACCTAAACCCCTAAAGCCCTAAAGCCCTAAAGAAACCCCTAAACTCCTAAACTCTAAAGCCCTCAAACTTCACTCTCAAGCACGGGACAGGAGCGCTTCGCCAAGCTCTGCCGCGATCGGGCCCCGCAGTGGCTGGCCAGCTTGGGCCCCAGAGTCGGTAATAGGGTTTAGGGTTCAGGGTTTAGGGTTTAGGGTTTAGGGTTTAGGGTTTAGGGTTTAGGGTTTAGGGTTTAGGGTTTAGGGTTTAGGGTTTAGGGTTACCCCTTAAAGGGCACCCCTTCTGAACCCTACTTTTGGCCCTCTTAAAAGGGACCTTATTGAGAGGGTCTACATCCCCAAGGGTCCCCCTAATCCGAGTTAGGACATAAGCATAAGCTTTTTATAGGGATATCCCTACCTTATTGAGCTTCATTATAAGGGGATTTATATGGGATATCCCTATCCTAATTTTTGCTTATGTGCTTTTTTGGGCCCTACCCAGAGCTTTCCGCAGCGAAGTCTCCCACTGGGACGAAGGTTCAGAAATTTAGGGTTTGGGGTTTAGGGTTTAGGTTTTTGGGTTTAGGGTATAGAGCTTCGGGTTCATGATTTAGGGTTTAGGGTTTATGATAGGATTTGGGGTTTAGGGCTTAGGGTTCATGATTTAGGGTTTAGGGTTTAGGGCTGGGGGTTCGGGGTTGGGCTGTTATGGTTTAGGTATTGCTGTTGGGGTTCAGGGTTTCAGGTTTACGCCTGAGGGTCGTAGGTTTAGGATTTTTAGGTTCAGAAAGGGCAGGGGTTTGGGGCTTGGAGCTTAGAACTCATGAAGGGTTTCATTGGAGTCAGGGATTTAGAAGAGCCTTTAGTTAAGTTTAAGGCCCAAAGGGATCCTCAATATGATCTCAGGGTTTGTCCCTTAGTTATCTCTGGCTCTTCCCTCTTGGAAATACGGACATGCGGGTGTTTTCTAAATTGCAGTTATTGTTCAGGTGTTTAACGAGAGACGTCTTGTTTTGGGCATCCAGCAAGGGACCCTCATTCAGCGAAGTAATACAGGGGTCAGAAGACTTAGGAATTAGAACCCAGGTCCTGTGGCAAATCCCAGCTTTTGCCACACCCTAAACCCTAAACCCTAAACCATCTGCCTAGTCCTTGGTGAGGAAGGTGCCTCCAGAAGCAGGGAGGGTGACGACGAAGTGGCACGAGGGCGGCGGAGCTGCGCGGGGGAGGACAAGCAACGAACGTATCAGAAGAACCAGTCAAAGAAAAAGACCAGAGCCAGGTTCCTTGGGTTGGTCAACCTGAAAAGTTTCAGGAGCACTGGCCCATGAGCCGATTTTCCCAAGTGGCCAGTTTCGAGAACGACAAGACAGATCTTCAGCACGAGGTTGCGACGCTCCTAATGGAAAAGAGGAGGTGTTCGCGGTGCATTCGACTCAATCTCTCAAAACCCAAAACCCTCAACCCCAAAACTCAATCTCTCTCATCCTTGTCTCAAGGGCCTGCTTCCCTGCACAGCAGGGCTTTGGGCTTCTCTGCCATAACCGGCTTTTTTCTGGGGCCGAGAAAACTGAAGGAAGGGGTGGAAGTGAGAGACGGGCAAACAGAGCAGAGGCACTGGCCCTAGACCCTAAACCCGAAGTTCGCCTTAGGGCTTCGTTTGGTTCAGGCGAAGTAGGTTTCTTTTTTCGCGGTCGAGGGTTCAGGTCTAGGCTAAGTAGTTTCGATTTTGGTACTGGACGAACGAGTCATCGGGGGGCACGCGCCGGAGACCCCAAACCCCAGAGTGAGGCACAGGCAATGAAACCCTAAACCCTAAACCCCAAACCCTAAACCCTAAACCCCAAACCGTTTCGGATCGAGTGTCCTGGAATCGGGTTCGCGGGCCTGGTTTCATTAGGTCTACACGGCTGCAGATCTGGGTTTGAGGGGTGTCCCTAAACCCTAAACGGCCCTGAACCCTAAACCCTAAACCCATTAAACAAATTCTCTTCTCGTTTTCTTGGCCTGGGGTTTAGAGTTGAACCCTGCCGAATATGGCCAGCAGCAGTTAGGAGCCACAAAGACTGGCAGCACAACCCTCGCGCGGAGCCTTATAGGGTTTAGGGTTTAGAGTTTAGGGTCTAGGGGTAAGGTTTTAGTATTTAGGCGGTTAAGGTTTAGGGTTTAGGGGTTCGGGTTTAGGGTTTAGGGGTCCGGGTTTAGGGTTTAGGGTTTAGGGGTTTAGGGGTTAGGGGTGAGGGCCTTAAATCCCACACCGTTCAACACCCCAGGCCCTACATCTCCGGTCCGAAACCCGAAATCCAAAACCTGAACCCGACATCCTCATCCTAAGCCTCAGCGCTTCAACACCGAGAGCAGAAAAATATAGGGGCCTCAATAGTTAACAATACTATTTTGGGGTTCCTTATTATAATTGCAGTAGAACATGTCCCAAAACCCTATTCCAATTCTTAAGGCCCCCCTCCCCTGCAGAGAAACGTGAATAATTTTGCATCAGGGCTCCTTGTTATACGTCTATATACAGAAGCCATCAAGCCTTAGACACGTGTATAAATGGGTAGTTTTCTAAATTAGGGTCCCTTTGGGGGTCCTTTTTGCAAGGGTGCCGTACTATATTGGGGACCCACCCCAAAAGGGACCCTAATTTAGAGAACTACCCAAATACATTAGAGCCTTGATCACGCCAAGAAAACCGTATGTCAGTTTTTCTTCTAGGCCCTAAACCCCAAACCTCAGTTCGCCCTAAACCCTAAACCTTAACCTTGCAACACTAAACCCAAAACCTAAAAAGCCCCATACGTAAAAGCCGCCAGGTCTAGAGAAGTTGGAGCTGCGGCTGTCGAAATCCAGCCAGGAAGCTCGGGAAATCGAGCAGAAGGACTGGTTTTGAGAGCTTGTTGCAAAACTGCTTGTAAAGAAGGCTTTTTTGAGGGTCTCAGGCGGATCTGGTTTTTGAAGTGCCGCTGGGCTGCGCATGGATAGGTTTTTTGAGCGCGCTAAAGCGTGTAATTTGGGGGCTTTAGTGGTTATAGGTTTTCAGGGTAGACTATAGCACAAGGATTCAGATCTCGATCATCGAATATTTAATCGGCTCCGAGAACGAAAGCTTACAGTTGAGCTCTTGTTGTCGGGCTGAGGATTTGCAGGAGGGCTGAGGGACAGATAGGTTTGCCACTTCAGGGTTGTGAGAGGATTGAGGGTCAGAGTTGCAGAGTTTTAGGGCCTCAGTGTTTGGGGGTAAGGGATTTTATTTTGAAGGATTTTTGCGCACTTTTGGGGGTGTTGGGGTTGCCAGGATGTTTAAGTGGCTTGGTGGCTCATAAGGCTATGAACGGTAATGAGAGGCTGTTGGGGTGTAGGGCGCGGGGATACTGGGTTGGGCAATCGTGTTTTCCACTGTGTGGTCTTCGTGTTGTTTCGGCTTTCCCGATGCCACCAACTGGGCCCGAAATCACGGCTCGAAATCTTAAGCTTGAACGTTTCTGAAGGGTTAGTTAAGTTAGGGTTTAGGGGCTTAGCCCTGGTTGAGGCCGGAAGCCTCTAAGCTTGCAACCGAAAGCTCTGCATGCCTCATTGGTTTAAGGTTAAGGGTTTAGGCTTGGCTCGGGCGTAGATTGGGGGTTTTAGGGTTCAGGTTGGGGTTGTAGGTCCCCTCGTTCGCAGGAGCATGCTGGCGAAGTGCTCACCAAAGCTGCTTGGCAGCATCAGGAGCCCGGAAGCTGCCTTTTTTCGAGGTTTTTGGGCTTTGTCGGTTTAGGGTTGAGGGTGTAGGGTGCCCCCTAAACCCTGAACCCAAAGCCCTAAGCCCTAAACCCCTCGGTCTTGTACAGGGCTATTGTTTATGAGATCCTGAAGCCCGGGTTTGTGTCCACAGCGCTTCCGTATGTCCCAGTAACTGGGCTATCAGGGGGCAGAGCTCTTCAGCGAAGCCCTGAACCTTACCTGGACCCCAAAAGTATGTAGAATAACAGCCTTTTAAAGGTGTTGGGCCATTATCTGACATACTTTTGGGGTTGGGGCGGTTTGGGTAAACCCTAAACCCGAAATTCCGAAGCTTAAACCCCGCAAACCGAGACTAGACCCCAAGCACGTGCGACCCAAATTCTCCAGCCGACCAAAGCTTTTCAGCTGAAACCCTGTTTGTGTGATACCTAGGTCTGAGCTCAAAGCCCATGTACAATTTCGACTATTACTTTCCCCAGAACCCTGTTCTCACGATTATTACGATCATTTACGGCTTCTATATTCTATTCCAGCAAAACGCCCCACTGCAACCGCACAAGTTCCCTCTGAAGAGCCCCTGTAAGAAATCTGATGTGACCCTCAACCCTAAACCCCAAACCCTAAACCACAAACCCTCAACCCTAAACCCTAAACCCTACGCGCTAAACCCTCAACCCTAAACCCTGAGCCCTAAACCCTAAACCCTAAACCCTAAACCCTAAACCCCAAACCCTAAACCGCCCTGTTTCGGAGGCTCGCTCAGCCGGCTTTTCCTTTGGCAGGGCACTACAGGAGGTCATTGGAGGACGCACCTCCCTGGTGGGGTTTGGGGGGGTTAGGTAGGGTTTAGGGTTAGGGTTTA